AGATCACAATAGACTAAGCACTCTATCTCGCTCACACCCGCTTGAACAGTTGCTACCTCGCGCTCGCACCTACAGCGGGCTCTCAATGTGTCTGGCAAGATGTAAGAACCATTAAAACTGTCCGGCTCTTGGGGTAACATATTTTTATAAGTCCCTAAGTAACATATATAAAATTTAGCTTTTATAGTATAACGAAAGTATAATTAAAATTTATTAAAGTTTAGGGGTGTCTGGCAGGGGGTAACAACTGGAAAAAGTGTCCGGCAACGGATATCGTGATTTCTAAAGATATTCTGGAGTAAATATTAAAAAAAGAAACCTTTATACTTTAACGAATTTAAGGTACTATTTTATATACCTTTACTGCCTGTTACCTGCCCAAGTAACCACAATCGAAACTCTATAATCGCGGGTCGTTCTTACCTGTGTTGGAGACATACACAGAGAAACTTTCAGCTTTTATAAAATAACGAAGGTCTGGCTGTCGCGGGCTCTTGCTCTATATACGTAAAAATCAGCTTTCAGAAAATACGTGAAGTAGGTAATGATTCTAACCTTACCTTGAGTACCTGATACCTGAAAATTGGCCGTCTAAGCAAGGTGGCAGGTAGGCATGCGTTCTTAGTACATACTAACACAACGCAATCGGCCACATTTCGCTCGTCAGAAAATACGTTGTGTGTTATAACGAGTGAGTTACAGTAGGCAGCGGCTTGGCTCTGCTCATGGCATTGCTGAAGTCCATGGGCGACGGTAACCACTCACCATCAGGTGGGCCGTATGCTCGTCTGCCTACAAGGGCAATAAAAAAAAAAAAAAAAAAAAAAAAAAAAAACGTGACGTCTGAGGGCCCTGGGATCTTACTCTATCAGCTTTAAATAAAATACTTTTTGTGATTTTGTAGTGCTTACATTTCTTTCGTCCTTTTTTATTTCTCTATCTTATTCTAATAACTATCAGCGCCTTTTTTTAAATTTACCTGGTTGCTACCGTAGCACCACCCTTATTTAGCAGATTTTAACGGACACTTTTTGACACTCAGAGACAGTTCTCCTTATCTCTATCCTCCATAACTGAGACTTTAGAACTTTTATCTCAAGGTGGACGGCGCATTTACGTCGTAGATGTCTATGGGCTCCAATAACCACTTAACGGCTGTGAGCTCGTCCACATATCTAAATAATAATAATAAAACGGAATGACACAAAAGAAAAATATTAAACAATTATGATATATTTATTTCTTACATTAATATAATAGCCTTGATATTTTACATTATTTATACTAGTTACATTAATACTTATTAGAATTAATTACTTAATCATTAAATATCAATATAAATTGTTTTCAATGTAACAAACACAAAACAGATCTGAATTCGTTTAAAAAACACACGTAAATGCAAAAATAGTGTAAAGAGTTAATTCAAAATATATAATTAGTTCTAATCGCAGTGCATAAGTGGATCAGGGGAGAAACATCAATCAAAATATTAAGTATTATTAATGACGTTAATTGAAAAACTGCGGCAAACCATGGAGGGTAGAAGTAAGGAGTACTATCTCAGCGTATTAAACAGAGTCCGCTGAAAAGGAGCCAATTAAGGTGGCGTCACAGTAGCAGGTGGAAAGATTTAAAAAAACAACGCCATAAGCGCCATACCAGAGTAGGATACTAAATTAAATACAAACAAAAACTTCGTACGTAAACAGTAATTAAAATGAATAGTTGAGATTTTAAATACTGCATATTTTTTAAACCCATTATCTACGAAAAAAAAAAAAAAAAAGTTCAACACGGCACAGTTGACTCGGTTTAAAACTGCTACATTCATATTATTTCCACTTCCTACACTAGCGCAATGTCGGTGACTATTGCAGTGGCCGTAACGAGGATACGGCGGAGCACACGCTCGAGTACTGCCGGAGTAGCGCCGCGTCCTCTTTGCGAAAATAGGACCGCACTTGTCGCTTCCGAACATCGTGGCTACGATGTTCAGCAGCGACGAGCCCTGGCAGGCGATGCTCGACTTCTGCGAGTCCACCATCTCAAAGAAGGAGGCAGCGGTACGGGAGAGTGAGAGCTCTTCTCCCCTCTCGGCGCCGTCCCGTCGCCGCATAGGCTGGGGGTCGGAGGAGGGCGTTCGTCCAGCTCCGGCTCCTGTGAGGAGGCAGTCTCCTCCCGGTAACGGTCACGGGGCGACCTAAGGGGTTGAGGCTGCGCCGCACGCTACCGTCACTCTAGCGCGCTGGCACCAAGAGGATAGAACGACGCGTCGGCGGCTGCGGCCTGCGAAGCGGTCCGCATTATCGTCGTCGAACAAATTGTGGGAGAGCATCCTGGTCGGCAGTGTATCGCGTTCCGATTCGGCAGGCTGGTCAGCGAGGTCCTGATCTGATTCTGACCCCCGATCGAGATCGGACGTCGGATGTAAGAATGCAGGCGAGTCGTATAGTGCGGTAGGATCCTTAAATATCGTCGTTGTTGATATTTATGGGCTCTTATGACCACTTAACAATAGTGGGGCTGTGAGATTGTTTACCGAACTAATTGAGAAAAAAAAATCGAAACTTGCCACAATAGGGCAGCACTACAAGCAGTGTGATATGAATGCAACTGTTGTAAAAGGAGTGAAGTATGCAGATTTAAACAATTTTATAAACAAAAGTTTTAGCGCCATCTTTGAAATTACACCACTCGCTAAGGTGGCGCCCCCTAATTGGTCGCTTCTCCACGAATGTTTTTTCATACACAATCACTGTTGCTTACCTCTACCCTCCATAAGTATGGTACACTATTGTTTTTCATCGTTGACTGCTGTACTGCTGAGGATCGCGACCACATGTGACTTTTCTCCAGTGTTCGATCGTGGGTGGCATGGACCGCACGGTATACTTTCTTAACCAGATCTGTGTGTTTAGTGCGAGTTTTTTAACGTCGGACTTTTTGACGGAAACGCGAGGAGTAAAGCTGTGTGATTTGTTTTATTTTGTTTATTTGGTGTTTCTTCAGGTTTAAATGTATAATAACGGTGGTTTATTAACTGTTTAATATCTGTGTAAGTGCACAAATGTGGTAAAATGAAACAAAGCCGCTGGACGCAACTTCTCGGGATCCTCCAAAAAGTCCACTGAAAAAATCTCAGTAAATGACCACCATTTTACTGAGATTATATTTCATCCTATATCATCTCATCTCATTTCATTTCATCCCAGTTGATTAATGTCTCAAATTAATCATCTCCATTTCATTTCATTTTAGTCCATATTATCTTTTTTCATAAAATCAAGAATATAAATTAAAATAAGACATGACTTAAAGATCTTAGCAGATTTAAAAACGATAAAAAAAAATTTAACGTCCTCGATAGCGTAAAAGCTAACTCAAATTTGTATGGAGTTGGAACGTTTGACTATGTTTGCCACTAGGGGCGCTGTTCCAATCGAGAACGTTAAAAAACTCGCACTAAACACGCTGATGATATAAACGTTGCCATGGTTCAACACAAACGGAAAACTTATCGATTTTATTATTGATTGTGAACCGAAATTAAATATAAGAATTACATCAGTTCTTTAAATTACAAAACAGAATGTACATAGGCGAGATTAGATCCTAATCTGTTTTCATCCAGGAAATCACAAAATACAAACGTCATAATATAAAAAAAAGGAACAAATGTATGTACGTCGAAAAAAATATTATTTAAAAACACTTATATTATTAATAATTTCATTGCGATGCATAATGATTTCTATGTTAACTATAAAAGAACACACGCTTTCCAACCTATCGTAACGTGACTTAAAAAAAGAAAGCCACTATAGTAGAATTATTTTGTCCGTGCAGTTTGGGTCATAAAACATAGCCCGGCTAAGGCGGTGCGCATGTTGCGCGGGCGCAACGCTATTATCGATAACAACAAATGAGTCATCGAAGGCAGGTACACGGCGGCGGGGTGGTAAACAAAGGGTGATGAGACATTGTTATGTTATAAGTCATTTGTACCTGCAAATTATAGTACATTGTGTCGAAGAGTAATGTGTTTTTATGCATTCGTTCTCTGAATTTCTTTAGTGACACAATGGTTACTCCATCAAAACGGCAGAATTTATTCAAAATAATATTTGCACGTGTTGTTATCAACAATGTGTTAAAGTTTTTCATTTAAATAAGAATAGATCCCGAAAAGTTACAAAGTGTTAATTTCTGCCGTTCTCGTTAACTTGCTGCGGCGATATGTGGTGTAAGTGTTCGATTAGTGATTTTTTCTTTCATTTTTATCACTAACCCACAAAATGACAAAACTAAATACACTATCGATAACGCTTATCGACAACAATAATGCGCATCACTATGCTCGTCCATAAGGATCGCGAGTGGAAGAGAGAGCGAAATACTCGCTTCACCGCTCTGATTTTTTATAACCCAAACTGCACGGCCAAATAATTCTACTATAGGTACTTATATTATCTATTCTTAAAAGACGTCTTTGTTGACATTCAAATTCGACGAGTGAAAGTCTATGTGGTTTAAGCGACTTTTTTGCAACCTTACAGGGGAGGAAGAAATCATGACAAAAAATACTTTTTCAGCTATTGACATAGGGTAAATTTTATAGAAGTTCAATCAAAAAAATTCAAACTGTTGATGCTGATATACCAAATAAAACGGACATTTAATTACAAAGATAAATGTGGCGCATTGTTACGGCACTGGGGTTCGGGATAAATAAATGTTCCACCGAAGTACAACTTAAAACTGTATTTGACCTTAGAACACACACAAAACACTTTAAAATTCTCAATTCGCTTCGCTTCAAGTGATCCGTTCGCGACGTTCGAGACGAAATCCCTAGAATCTTCGAGAATATTCCGCAAAAGTAGAGTATTATGTGTTTCCGCTATCTGACAATAGATAGCGTTGTACTTCTCAAGCGTTCTAGATGCTACTAGATCCTTCGATATTCGTTCGACTATTCAAATCAAATCAAAATTTGTTATTCAACATAAATAAAAGTACATACATACTTGTTGAGCGTCAAAAAGAAACTACCGCCAATAAACAAAAACTAGCCTCCGTCCTGAGAAGAACTGGCAAGAAACTCAGCGGGCATGTCTTTTTTTTTAAATATTACTTTTTTTTCGGCGATAGATGGCGTTACTCTTACCTAAGTAACAGTAATTAAACGAAATGTCGCTTTAACTAAATAGCCTCTCACCTCTCGATATATAAAATCGGTCCAGCCGTTCTCAAACCTTGCTCTTGCATACCAACGAATAGCATTTAAAACTTATTGAAACGAATAAAAAAAGCATGGTCGAACTGCGTTATAACGAAAAACAATAATTATTATGGATACGATAATCTCATTAATGAATACATAAAATTATAATCTATTATTTCCATTTATTTGAAAACGCAAAGAATACTGTGTCGAATCTTACAAAGAAGATAAAATTTTAAGATCTCATCGATTTAACATCGCCACCAGAGTAAAGTTCATTCTACTACCTATAACCACTGTGTTCATTCACATTGCGTTTCCAGAGATGTTTTTACCACGTACCATCTGGCTTTGGAATGAACTCCCCTCCACGGTATTTCTCGAGCGCTATGTATGACATGTCCTTCTTCAAACGAGGCTTGTGGAGAGTACTAGACGTTAGATAGCGGCTTGGCTCTGCCCCTGGCATTGCTGAGGTCCATGGGCGACGGTAACCACTCACCATCAGGTCGGACCCGTTGCTTCAAGGGCAATAACAAAAAAAATACAGTAAAAACTCTTCATTCGCGCTTCCTTCATTCGCGTTTTCACTATTTCGTAGATTAAAAAAAAAAGCGACCCAATTCCCATGTTCGCGGCTAAAGAATTATTTATTCGCTAACTAATCGGTACATACAAATTGATAAAAAGGATTCCAATATTAACGTATTCAACCGAATATCTTTTGTGAACGCGTTGTCAAATGTACTAATAAAAACGTAAAATAGATCTTATTACAACTTGTGACTAAAGTATGTTTTTAAATGATTATCGCCGCTATATTGGTTCGGCATTTGACGCCAACCCCCTTCGCCATCGGTGGGCGTTTTTGAGAATGTCAGCAAACAGAATGAAATCAAACTTATTACTCAACGCACACGTTTCATTTTTGAAAAAAAATTTGATTAAAATGACCATTCAAGTGTTTATATATTCGCTCCTTAATTACGGAACATGTATAACCTACCCCACGAATAAAGAGCTTTTACTATATCGGCAATACTTTACTACCGCACCGATTTAATATCGAACGATGGGTCTTCTTTCGGCGCTATATTTATCAATTGCGAGAAATCACAACGTTATAACGAATACGTTAGCAAATTTTGAAGTGAAACTTCTAATGCGACTTCCAACAAGGTTGCGTTAAACGTTTAACGCTCCTGGGGAGGGGGAATAGAAAGAGATAGAGTGAGAGTGAATGCGTGGCACTCGCACGCATGCGCGTAGTATACCTGATACAGAACAGCGCGAGCGTCAGCAACGGGTAGCGTCCAATATTTTAATGAAGTATTTAAAAAAGAATATTTATTTATTTTTCTATCAATTATTTAAAATATATATAATATAAATGTTGAAGATGTCGCATCTCTTATACACAGCATTTCCTATTATAAGAGCAATTTGATTTAAGGATGAAAAATGAAGAAAACCACAATACTTACACATCGAAAAAGAAGTTTCACTTCATTCACGCCCACAGTTTTTTTGTAAGTAATTTTCCCGTCAATCCCTAGTTCCTTACGTACCATACTGAGATCCGAATTATCGACCTCTGAATATGCCTTAATTCATCGCTTAATCGAGAAACCTTATAAATCAAATAGGGTCGTGAAAAAAAAAAAAAAACCACTGAAACACGCCAAATGAAAAATCGAGTATTTTCATTCAGGCCACTAGGCTAACCGGTGAGCCTTATCATACCGAACCATTCAGGCCACGTGGGTCACCCGTGAGCCTTTTAAAATACCTAAATTAGATGATAAAAAAGCCCTTAATTTTATTTATAATCCGTGCAAATTTTCGTAAATTAAAGAATGTAAATCTCGAGCTGATAAATATCACTGATTCCCTTATTTTGGCTAAGCCCGAATGGTGTGGCACGCTAGGCCCACCGGTGGCTCTATAAGCGTCTAAGGTGTTAATAAATAATAGTTTAAAAAAACGAACAAAATACGCTTTTATAGAAAATCCAACAGAAAAATAGAAAATAAATTTTAATAAATTTGAATTAAAAATACTGTAAGAAAAAATGATTTTATTGTAAAAAAATGCGTGAGGTACATGGTAAAAGTAGTTATAAATATTTTATGAACATATATGAGTAGAAGGGTCATTTTGATAATATCTTGAAAAGCACCCCAAACTTTTTTACAATAAATTATTTTCTATTTTTTAGTTGGATTTTCTTTAAAAGCGTATTTTGTTAGTTTTTTTTAAACTATTATTATTATTGTTCATTTTTGCGACGTTAAACCGACGTTTTGAAGGGGGGTCAAAATCACGATCAAAGATTCCGTTACAAACATACATACCTCTGAAGCTAATGAAAGCGTATTAAAAATAGCATCCCTCTATATCGCATTCGGGGTGGTGACTCTTTATGTGCGACTTCAGACTCGCGTTCTGTATAAAGGCCTGACCGCACACGTGGCACCGGTACCGACGGTCATTTGTGTGCGTCCTTATGTGATACTGCAGCGACTTTAACCTCGGGTAGCTCTTTTCGCAGTATTCACAGCGGAAATTCCTCTCTCCCGTGTGTGTAGCCATGTGTTCCTTTAGACGCGACGGTAAATAAAACCTCTGGTCGCAATACTCGCACTGGTGCTTCAGGACTTTCTGATGATTCCTCCTCTGATGCTCGGTCAGTGTTTTCTGACGGTTGTACACTTTGTCGCACAGATTGCAGGGATACGTTCGCTTCTGTCCGTGGGCCTCAGTCAGGTGTTTGTTCTTCAGAGCGTAAGACATGAAGCACTCGTCACAGCGCGGGCAACGGATAATCGCTTTCTTCTTGTGCACGATATCAACGTGCATATCTTTGTAGTGATTCGACTTGAACACTTTCCCGCATATCTCGCAGGTGTGCTTCTCGTCATCCTTGTGCCTCTTCAGATGGGCATCAAGCCTGGTCTTCTCCAAAAAACACACGCCGCAAACGTCGCACGTGTAATTGCTGAAGTGCTCCACCATGTGAGTGTTCAGCGTGTTGAAGTCTTCGAAGACGTCGCTGCACATGACGCAGACCAGGTCGTTCCAAGTCAGGCGGTACAGAAGAAGCTTGTCGGGCGCTTCGAAGTAGATCTTCTTCCCGTGTATCTGATCGACGTGGGCTTTGAAAACGTTCAGATCGTCGATCTTCATCGGGCACAGTTTGCAATCGATGCGCGTTATGTCCAGTTTGGGCATCTTCTTGTAGCCCATCAGCAATTGGAACGGCTTCGTGTCGTGCTGGAGCGTGTGCGACCTCAGATCCTCCGGCTTCGGATAATAGTCCTTGCAGTAGAAGCAGTAATAGTTGTTGCGTCTGTTCTTGAACGGGCAAACGTACGAATACTGGACGATTGTCATTAAGTTCTCCTCGGCCATGCAGTCTAAGTCCCGATCGTGATTGTTTTTTTTTTCGATCTGCGGCTTCAGGGCACGACTCTTTTTCGATTGGGCCGTCCCTGCGAATCGGCAAATGGATACCGCTGACAAAAATCGACCATTGAGGCAGGCAACGATGAAGGTATCGTACAACATAAAAAAAAGCAGGACCTCATTCGTTTGAATCAGTTTAAATTAAGTTAATTTTTTTTATTGCTTAGATGGGTGGACGAGCTCACAGCCCACCTGGTGTTAAGTGATTACTGGAGCCCATGGACATGTAGAACGTAAATGCGCCACCCACCTTGAGATATAAGTTCTAATGTCTCAAGTATAGTTACAGCGGTTGCCCCACTCTTCAAACCAAAACGCATTACTCCTTCCCGGCAGAAATAGGCAGGGTGGTGGTACCTACCCGTGCGGACTCGCATGAGGTCCTACCACCGGTAAAAAAGTGTTAATTAAATGTTAAGTGTAAGTTAATGTCGCTTTGTTGTGTGTCTGCATGCCGGGAACGTTTCGGTGGGTAGTTGAAATTCAAGATATCAGATGTTCGAGAAAGTTCGATGAATTTAGCACAGAAGACTGTGGAATTCGTTGCCGGCTGACATCCGAGTTTGCAAGTCTGTTTCTGTTTTTAAATACAAGGTCAAACAATTTTATCTCTCATCAACCGAATGATCATGGTTCTATACTCTTCGTATATACGAGTGTTACTGTATTACTTATAATATTTGCTATGTGTATGTGCTATAATTCTCATGTTGTATTTGTTATTTTAGTTATGTGTTATTTGTTCTACACACACTTATCACTTTTTATTATTATTCTCATTATCCGAAATAAGCAGTGCCTTTGTACATAATTTTCCTATTACTCTGTACTGTGTCTTGTTTTCTGTGTGTACATAAATAAATAAAAGAAATAAAATAAAAAGACATTCGTAGGTTGGGCTGGTTGTATGTGTTACGTTTATTTGTTTAGTCGGGACTTTGTATTAGTGTCTGATGCCTTAATGATGTCTATAGACTACAGTGGTAGGCAGCGGCTTGGCTCTGCCCCTGGCATTGCTGAACATTGCTGAACAAGGGCGACGGTAACCACTCACCATCAGGTGGGCCGTATGCTCGTCAGTCTACAATGAAAAAAAAAAAAAAAAACAGTAATAACTTGTCTGTTGTTTTACACGAATGGAAAACTCACCACTTTTCCTCTTCCCCAATTTCGTTTTTCCTTCCTTCTTCTGCACGCCGTTCTTCTTTTTCCTGCCGGCCTTGACCTTCCTCTTGATCGGCTTGTCCGAGTCGGACGATGAATCGGTCCAGTCCGTCCCCCCGCCACCGTCGTCTTCTAGAAGCTTCGATGGTTTCTCTGGGAGCTGCGCGTTTTCCGGATTCAGTTTCTCTTCTTTCGGTGGTTTCGTTTCTGTTTTAGAATCTGGAATGTTTTTAATAGATCGTATGATTAGTTCTACATTGGAGTCCTTGTTGACAAACACGTTATGGCCCGTCTGAACCCTTGGGCACGTGTACGTGACGTAGGCCATAAGATAACAAGTGTATTCGTATCTTAAGTAATGCAGGACTATGTCAGTGTTCTGATGTACAGGCAGACAACTACACATTAATAGGCCAGGGGAAGAAATTGCCTGCGCAGGGGCAAGATCGTCGATCAGAACCGAAGGTTAGGCCTCGAGGTGGCGATTGAGATATCCCAGGTCCTGTGGTATTCTTTCCTTTGCCGCCAAGCCGAGCTGTAGCAGGGTTAAGCTTATAGATTTCCTTAGGTTAGGTTTATATGGCGACCTGAAGGCTCTAAAGCAGCAACGCCTGGGGCGGTCTGATGTAGAGTCGTCGACTATCGCTTCGGCAACTTCGTCAGCCGAGTCTTTGGAGAGAGCTGGGTGTCTGATTGCAGCTTTGACCGCGGAACTTCCCCTAGCTTGCCCTGGTTCTATTTCTGACGGAGATTAGGCGTCGGGCGAGAGTGCAAATTAGTCGTTTGGTGGAAGAATCATCAACATTCTCGAACTTTATCAAGTCACACATGTTACACGCTCCCTTAGCGCAAGGTTCTCGTAAATAATTCAGTTGAAGGTTGAGATAGCCGTGATGCTATATAATCAAGACCTCGATCTTACATTTGCAGGTGGGTGCAGGCGTCACGCCTATGGGCCCCAATAACCACATAAATCTAGAAAGGTCGTAATGCTATACGACCTATCCAGAGCAACAAAATAAACTACCTTCAGGCAAGTCATCAGCCGAGTAATCGACGGACATTCCATCGTCGTGGTCCACAGCTCCTATAGAATGGTGGTCTTCATCATCTTTCGGTTCCATTTTCAGTTCTATGTCCAGAGCTGCCTTCTCAGCTTTTTGATCTGGAAACAGAATTATTCGAAGGCGTCTGTGATGAAGTTGTTATAAATTAGAGGCGCAATCAGATCTACTCCAAAATACAACGAGGTATGTACCTCCACGTTAATAAGAGACCAGACCAGAGATTACGAAATCGCTGCGAAACCTCGACACAATTCAGTTCAACAGCTATGTGACATCAACGTTATTTGATGATGGGCTCCGTGGTCTGAAACCTCATCACGATACAATGTGAAGAATGACTTGAACTGTAGTATACAAAGCTTTTAGAGCAGCTGGATAGCGTAAGCTTCGAAAGCGGTGGTCAAACTAGTGGTAGGGCGTACCTACCCGGGCGGGCCCATATGTGTAGGTGCACTACCCCGCCTATTTCTGTCATGAAAGAGAAGTCAGAAGCAGCGATGCTTTTCGGTTTTAAGGGTGACGCAGCCTTTGTACTGTACTTACAACTCATGTCTTAAACTGGGTGGCAGCATTTACATTGTTGACGTCTACGAGCTCCGGTAACCACCTAGCTCTAGGTAGGCAGTGAGTTCGTCTACCTAAGTAATAAAAAAAATAAAAAGTGTACTGGGATCACCAACTGGCCTTTTCTGGTTGAGAGTCATGTCGGCTCTCATCCTGCCTATTCCTGCCGTAAACTAGTCATGCTATAAAATTTGTAGGGTGATACAACCATTATACAATGCAATTGAAAGCGCAACCACATTCCTCAAGGTCAGTCGCAGAATTCAAGTACCCATAGGTAGTATGTAAAATATGCAATTAACCTTTTTGAATTCAAGGATGTGTCTGTTACACTTTGTACTACTCACCATCAGTGTCCTTATCGTGTAGTTTTGAGCTAAGGAACAGGTCCTCGCACTGGAGTACTTGCTGCCTGAAAGCGCAGGCATCTCTCAGTCTCACCACACATGTAGCACAGACGCCTGAATCTTTCTCTGTGTCATCTACGTGGGACAACTGTAATGAGGTATAAATAATCTATTAGGATTACTCGCAACCGATTCATCATATCGGCGCTTGAAAGGCAAACGTGACTAAGCGACAATAACTGCTGGTTGCGCTGGTTTAAAACTGTTAATTTTTGGTTTAGGAAAATAGCAACATTTCATTTGGTTTTGCAAATCCTGTCCCATCCCTCTCCCGCACTTTACCTACGGACGCGTGCGAGCGAGATCGTGTGGCGACATCGACTCGAGAAGAAATGTAATGGCTGAACTACCGCGCGCGCGCTTCGTGTCTCTGTTGTAATATATACGTAATTAAGTGAAATTGTTGGTGTTTCTCATCGCGTAGCAGTACGAGCCTGCAGTAAGGACTACGTAAGGTATTGTGCATCCTTCCTTTACCGCAGAACTGCCGTTTCTTATTGTTTTGCCGCAGTCTGTGTCCTACAATTTGCAACGGCCAAATTTCGAAAATTTTCCTTTATTTCGTAGTTTTGCTTATTTCGCATCTGCAACTGCTTTATACATAAATGATAGGCAATAACCGTATTCGATGCGCAAAAAATATTTCTCGGTCTATTAAAATCATTTCAATTCTACAGCTAGATTACTTAAAAAAAAAATTTTTTCAGGTATATCAACTTTAAATTAGTCTACTGTAAAGTTCATGCATTGTCGCTTAGTCACGTTTGCCCTTCAAGCGTCGATATAATATCATTAATAAGACTACAGCTGAACAGTTATCAGGACTTCTTCGGCTACCAAAGAAAATGTGAAGTAACTAAAAAATCGGAAATAATTGAAATACAATAATAAACAAGAAGAATGAATATAAAATTAGTTATTACTTGAAACACAATATTAACAAATTTATTCATTTTGATCTATGAAAATTTTCATCAAATTGATTAGAATGTTTATATTGCTTTATGATTCATCTTTTTTATTTATTTATTGCTTAGATGGATGGACGATCTCACAGCCCACCTGGTGTTAAGTGGTTGCTGGTGCCCAGTAACATCTATAACGTAAATGCACCACCCTCCTTGAGATATAAATTCTAAGGCCTCAGTATAGTCACAACGGCTACCCCACCCTTCAAACCGAAATGCATTACTGCTTCATGGCAGAAATAGGCGGGGAGGTGGTACCTACCCGTGCAGACTCACAAGAGGTCCTACCATCAGTAATTTATAATGAAACTGATACTTAATAGTTAACAGAGCCTATATTTATCTCAAGAATAATGCTGAGATATCTGTATACCTATTTAGCATCACAAAACCTCTTTGCTTACTTTAGATATGTATAATATGTATAAACTTTACATTTTTCAGACCATAATAAATTTTCAACATCTTTATATATTTTTATTCTAACTCACAATATTTTGCAAATTGAATTTGTACTTGTTAATAAAACCTTCAAGATTTCAGTTTCTTGATGTTTGTTCTTAGTGGCGAAATTGCATTCTGAATCGGTGGTAAGCTCATGCCTGTTCGAGGGCCCACTTGAATAGAAAACTTTTTTCACTTTGATTCATCACTAATAAAAATCAAGCATGATTTTTTAATAACCTATTGTATTCTAAAACACAAGGCATGGTTGTCCAAAATAGTGAATGTCCTATTGCCCTTGTAAGCAGACGAGCATACGGCCCATCTGATGGTGAGTGGTTACTGTCGCCCATGGACTTCAGTAATGCCAGGGGCAGAGCCAAGCCGCTGCCCACCGTAGAAGTTATCATACCCGGTTTAACTCACCAGAATGCCAAAGCAGTCCATCACCATATCGGCGTAGACTTCTTTTTGATCCATCCAAGTGTACTCTGCTGTTAGAATTCTGCATTTTTTTATGGCACGACACAATCTACACAACGCTGGATCTATAAGCGGCCCGTTGTTTTTCGTGCCCATTTTCATTGAAATATTCACTAAAAACTCGAATTCAACTTCGCATCACTCATTGTAATTTAGATATTTGGTAAACAAACAAAAGATATAAAGCGACCCCAACAAACCAACGTTACACCAAGTTTAATGACTGATGACTGTAATGACAGCGGAAAAATGTCAATAGCCTCTGCGTTTTGTGATTGCATGCGATTTTTAAAAGCGTTTTTTTTTTAGTTTTTATGATCTGGTAACCGTAACTTTAAGCTAAATCTCATATTTTCATCTTACATTCTGTTGAAGTATGAAAAATGGTGTACGGCGCATACATATTGAGTGCATTTATTCAAGACTTTAATCGACTTTCATCGAATGAAAATGAATGAAGTGAAATGAAATGTGATGGAAATAAAATGGTGATTATTTTAGTGAAACTTTTTCAGTGGGCACTTGGGAAGAACCCTAGAAACTTCTAGTGGCTTTTTTAACTTTCACAGATGCTAAATAGTTATTACACATTTAACTATAAAGAAGTAATAAATAAACAAAATTAAAAAATCGCGCAAATTCGCAACTCGCGTTTCTGTGCAAAAGCCCTTAAAAATGCAATCGACTTCACACTAGCACCATAGAAAATACATTTAATACACTACCACTGTGACACAAAACGTGTGTACCTACATATGACTAACCGAAAAAAAAAAAGACTTTTTGGCGAGAACGCGAGGAGTGAAGTGTGTGATTTGTTTTATATTGTCTATTTAGTGTTTGTTCAGGTTTTAATGTGTAATAACGGTAGTTTTTAACTGTTTAATATCTGTGAAAGTGCACAAATGTGGGAAATTGAAACAAGGCTGCTGAACGTAGCTTATCGGGATCCTCCAAAAAGTCCACTGAAAAAAATCTCAGTAATTGACCACCATTTTACTAAGATTATATTTCATTCCATATCATCTCATCTTGTTGGAGTTTGAATATAAATGTAATGGCAGGCAACACTTGACACATGATTACAGATTTCGAATATTAGAATTATTTTAAATGTTTAAAAAACAGATGATTGTATTCTCGTTAGAAAAAGTAAGAACTTCTCATCTAGATACGGTCAGAGAAACATGTAAGAGTTTTATAAAAATATAAAGATAATAATTTTCTAATGGTGTAACAGTGTTCATGGAATATAATTATAATGAAGCAGTGTGTTTTTAAATAGCCCCTCATTAACCTACAGAACCCAATCCCCTCAAATTTAACCATCCAACACATCTCATTTAATTTAATTTCATCCCAGTTGATTAGTGTCTCAAATTAATCATCTTCATTTCATTTCAATTCATTTCACTCCATATTATCATTTTTCATAAAAATAAGAATATAAAATAAAATAAGACATGACTTATAGGTCTTAGTTACCAGGTCATAAAATCCTTTAAAAAAAAAAGGTAAAAAATTGAAGACATGGAGTTATTAAGTACCGTAAAATGGGGCGATTAGGGACAAATTCCAACTTTATGAGCAATTTTAAGGTAGTTGTTGATGTATATAATGCTATATCAGGATCAAAATGATTGAGTCTTGGGGGCATCTTTGTTGTCTAATTTAAAATTATGCAACTAGCATTCCAGTTTAAGCAAAAAATGCAAAAATAGGTGTAATCCCTATTTACCCGAAAATTGCGGTTAATTGGGACGAAATGAGAAATTTGCTAGGGTTGGCACTACTTTTATTTTTATATATAGTTTTAATTTATTTATTTATTTAGNCCGGCAATCTGACTTTTGGACAATGATTGGTAAATCAGAAAAACGAATTATTGACTTTGTATTCCATTGGCAGTCACAAAACTCTTCGGAACGACATCTTAGATAAATAACAGGTTAACTATTAATCTTTATTTAATGCAGGTTTTGAACCGTATTCTTTGAAGGAGACGATTATATTCAAATCAATCTGTATTGACATATCAATAAATTTTTTTTGTCCAAATGCACAGATTGCCACCTTTGATAATAGACGACTCATATTGTCTATTTAGTGTTTGTTCAGGTTTTAATGTGTAATAACGGTAGTTTTTAACTGTTTAATATCTGTGAAAGTGCACAAATGTGGGAAATTGAAACAAGGCTGTTGAACGTAACTTATCGGGATCCTCCAAAAAGTCCACTGAAAAAAATCTCAGTAATTGACCACCATTTTACTAAGATTATATTTCATTCCATATCATCTCATCTTGTGGGAGTTTGAATATAAATGTAATGGCAGGCAACACTTGACACATGATTACAGATTTCGAATATTAGAATTATTTTAAATGTTTAAAAAACAGATGATTGTATTCTCGTAAGAAAAAGTAAGAACTTCTCATCTAGATACGGTCAGAGAAACATGTAAGAGTTTTATAAAAATATAAAGATAATAATTTTCTAATGGTGTAACAGTGTTCATGGAATATAATTATAATGAAGCAGTGTGTTTTTAAATAGCCCCTCATCAACCTACAGAACCCAATCCCCTCAAATTTAACCATCCAACACATCTCATTTAATTTAATTTCATCCCAGTTGATTAGTGTCTCAAATTAATCATCTTCATTTAATTTCAATTCATTTCACTCCATATTATCATTTTTCATAAAAATAAGAATATAAAATAAAATAAGACATGATTTACAGGTCTTAGCTACCAGGTCATAAAATCCTTTAAAAAAAAAGGTAAAAAATTGAAGATCAAAACTCTAGTGTCTATGAACCCAAGGTTGTATGGGCTTAGATCCCCTTGCGTTTCCTAATAAGGAAAAATTGTACCAAAAAAAAATGTTTATGAACCCGTCGATTAAAATATTGATAACATTTCGTTCTATTAATTCAAAAGATGCTGAAATAAAATTAAATAGATTATGGCTGTTACAACGATTGCCGGGAAGGGTAAAGGGCCCATAGTAGACCCGGCGTTATGCCGATGTTGTCGCTCTATAAAGAAGTGCCGACTCTTAACATCTGAATACGAATGGATGGGTCAAAAAGAAGTTTATTCAGAGATGTTAATGGACTGTTTTGGTTTGCTTGTAAGTGTTTGCTATAATTAAGCTCAACAATGAATAAACTAAATGTACTTATATTATTATTTACTTATATTTTACTTTTATTTTTTATTTTTATTTAATTTAATTTCCCATATTTATTTCCCGTATTTATTATGTTTTGACACCGAGAAACAAACACACAATTTCTAGATTTCCTAGTTTGAGCCGATTATTATGATATTTTTGTGATTGCTATATTATAATCATTTTCTTTCTGAAATGAGATAGTTTTTTAGTAACCATGTTTATAAGTTAGTAACAAAACTGCTGATCAAGAATGAAGTAAATTAACCAATTGAAATATTATCAAATAGTTTTTTTAATTATAATACATATTAGTCTGCTTTACCTTATATGAGTCGACTATTATCAAAGCCGGCAATCTGACTTTTGGACAATGATTGGTAAATCAGAAAAACGAATTATTGACTTTGTATTCCATTGGCAGTCACAAAACTCTTCGGAACGACATCTTAGATAAATAACAGGTTAACTATTAACCTTTATTTAATGCAGGTTTTGAACCGTATTCTTTAAAGGAGACGATTATATTCAAANATTATTGACTTTGTATTCCATTGGCAGTCACAAAACTCTTCGGAACGACATCTTAGATAAATAACAGGTTAACTATTAACCTTTATTTAATGCAGGTTTTGAACCGTATTCTTTAAAGGAGACGATTATATTCAAATCAATCTGTATTGACATATCAATAATTTTTTTTTGTCCAAATGCACAGATTGCCACCTTTGATAATATACGACTCATATCACTGTTTTACGGGTTAGTTTGCATCATTTTCCCCTCCCTATTCACTGGTAGCCTAAAGTGCTATTCCAGTTACACTCTAGCTGGTAAGTGAGCTAACAACGCTGGAACTGGGAGAGATTGCTAACTCTGGCCTAAGCAAGAGCACTGTGTCACAGAATCACCAGTTTGGTATCTCAGTAGCACTAAACCTACCTGTTCCTTCCACAAAGCAGTCATATATTACAATTTAATTGGTTGGAACTCTGTGTACAATATAATAACAATTCAGAATATAATTTCTCAAGGTAGGCGGTTTCAACACTGTTGTGATGTGAATTCCCATATAAAACAAAGTTCGTCAAGCTCAGCAAAAAAATTCATAATATAGTGTAGTATGTTCAATGCACTTCTGTCATAATAATTCTTTTTTCTTCATAAATAATAAATACTGTTCATTTGGAAGTACATTCCCACAGCAATTTTTTTATTTTTATTGCCAATGTAGGCATATGGTCTGGTCGTAAGTATAGCTTATGGACGGACGTCAGCAATGCCAGGGACAGAGTCAAGATAAAGATTTTTCTCGAAAAATCTACAATAATTAGATATTAAATTATTACGAAAGGATATGTTTTAAAAGCTGCCTGGAAAAAATTATACAAAGAGACATACAAAACGAAACCAACCATAATATTCACTACGATAAAAATAATTAGTAGATTGTATTAACCGTTTCAATTTTTTATCGTAACAGCTTTCCAATCTGGACGGAGACAACAAGGAGTCGTGCATATGTGCAACATGCGTTGTCAGACTGAGAGACGCGTATGCATTCCGTCAGCAGGTTCTACAGTGCGAGGAGGCATTTCTAAATGCCAAACTACAAAGTAAAGAAGGTGACGATTTTCAATAATATTTATTGCTGTTACCTGGGTTGAATATACATCATACATATTTATTTTTCTTGTGTAAATAAGTAGTAATGCGTTTCGGTTTGAAGGGTGGGGCAGCCGTTGTAACTATACTGAGACCTTAAAACTTATATCTCAAGATGAGTGGCGCATTTACGTTGTAGATGTCTATGGGCTCCAGTAACCAGTTAACACCAGGTGGGCTGTGAGCTCGTCCACCCATCTAAGCAATAAAAACATAAAAAAAGATACCTTCGGAACAGAGTAGAAAATCTTCGCATTAGACTGTAACAGAAATTGACATAATTACTTCAGTGTACCGTGTAGGGCACTGATGACTTATGTAGCTGTCATAGGGTTAACTGTATTGACTTTGCCAGTTTGTACCAAATTTTTTTTTTATAGCCTACCTGTGTGGACGAGCTCACACCCCACCTGGTGTTAAGTGGTTACTGGAACCCATAGACATCTACAACGTAAATGCGCCACACACCTTGAGATATAGTTCTAGGTCTCAGTATAGTCACAACGGCTGCCCCACCCTTCAAACCGAAACGTATTACTGCTTCACGGCAGAAATAGGCGGGGCGGTGGTACCTACCCGTGCAGACTCACAAGAGGTCCTACCACCAGTAATTACGCAAATTATAATTTTGTGGGTTTGATTTTTATTACACGATGTTATTTCTTCACCGTGGAAGTCAATCGTGAACAATTGTTAAGTACGTATTTCATTAGAAAAATTTCACTTTGACTTTCCAACTTCATGTTTCAAGGTCCAATATGATTTCGGTTAACAATCTCAACACCAGATGAAACACCCGTTTAACCCCTGCAACTATATAAATTAAACTAAAACGGATTACACGGGATTGGTTAATAAGAGGGTGAAGATGTCGACCGAAGAAGACATGGATGGAGTGTGTGAATGACGATATGAGAGAGAGAAAGAAGTGAGTGTTGAGATGACAGCTGATAGAAGAGAATGGCAGAGAAAAATTAACTGTGCCGACCCTACCTAGTGGGATAAGGTGGAGACAAAGAAGAGGTTAATTAATATGAGACTAGTCAAAACCAAGCGTGGCTCTCTGACTTCAGCTTCACCAAATAAAATGAAGTGAATATATTGCATTTTTTCACATCACAATTGAAACGCCAATGACAGCGAATGACGTCATTCGTGGCTAGTCATTGTGTATTCATTAATTTTAGCAACGACGAACGAATAAAACGACTACACTTAAAGAATTAGCATGCAGATTCTGTTTGTAGTTCCCTAAGGCAGTGTTTGCACCTTCAAAAATAATATGTATATGTATTTAAAACTTCAATATTTTAATTATAGAAGCCTCAAGCAGGATTGACGTTCAAGTGAAAACCGAGCCGCTAGCAGATGACTCTGACATGCCAATGGACCACAGAGACGAACCCTCCGATATGGACTGTAATGGTAATTAATAATTAAATCAGACTGTATTAGGTGCTGCGAGCAATTGCTTTACTGGCTTTAAGGCTTTGTGATCTCGCACGTTTTTTTTACTGCTTAGATAGGCGAACGAGCTCACACCCCACCTGATGTTAAGTGGTTACTGGAGCCCATAGACATCTACAATGTAAATGCCACCACCCAGCTAGAGATATGAGTTCTAAGAACTCAGTGTAGTTACAGCGGCTGCCCCACCCTTCAAATCGAAACGCATTACTGCTTCACGGCAGAAATAGGCAAGGTGGTGGTACCTACCCGTGCGGACTCACAAAAGGTCCTACCACTAGTGGGTTATAAGGCTTCCCCGTTTTTTATGCGAAAACGTTGCTAATGACGGCGAGCTGAGGCATTTCGTTGGCGCTGTATTTTATGCGATTTTTTGCGCGATAAACTCGCACTAAGCACACTCTGTAGCTCTATCGCATACAGGTTTCAATTTTTTATTTATATTTATATTCATGCACAAAACAAATTACAACCATAGAAATTATAAGTTTAAATATTTAACACAACAATCTGGATTGCAATTCAAAACAGGTGCATTTAAAAAAAAAAGAGAACTGAACAGATGCCTAAATACCTTGTGTGTACCTTGTGTACACACACACACACAAACACACACACGACGCACGCATCACACACACACACACACACACACACACACACACACACACACACACACACACACACACACACACACACACACAAATGTAAGTTGTTTGTAATTGTAAAAGCTTAAATGCCTTTCCACAACTCGGCTTCGTTTTCGAAGGCGAATCCCGTACATCGCTTACGAGTGATCAATAAATACCTACCGTATAAAGAGTTATTTCAGAGGACCTGAAGCCGCCCGACATTAAGGACGTCAAAGTGGCGAGCGACTACGAAGGCACGAAGAAGCTGAAGAGGCCGAGGAAAGCGAAAGTCGCCGGCAAGAGGGATCTCGTCAACCGCATGAAGAAGTACAGGGAGAAGCTGGACCATTTGATCGAACCGGGTGAGTTGTGCAGGGCAACTGATCTCCCTTGCAGGTGGTCTCCAACTGTGGAGTACTTTTTTATTCTTTTTTTTTATTACTTAAATGGGTAGACGAGCTCACAGCCCACCTGGTGTTAAGTGGTTACCATAGACATCAACGACGTAAATGCGCCACCCACCTTGAGATATACGTTCTAAGGTCTCAGTTATGGAGGATAGAGGTAAGGAGAATCGTCTCTGAGTGTGAAAAAGTGTCCGTTAAAATCTGCTAAATAAAGGTGGCGCTACAGTAGCAACCGGGTAAATTTTAAAAAAGACGCTGATAGTTATTAGAATAAGATAGAGAAATAAAAAAGGACGAAAGAACTGTTAGCACTAGAAAATCACAAAAAGTATTTTATTTAAAGCTGATAAGAAAATGCAATCGATGTCTCCACGTTTTATCACAGCAATAATTTTAGGTTATATTGACAAAATTAGTTTGGACAACGTAAACATGTGAGGTCTTGTATATTTACACTGTCACTAACTACTCTAGTCATTAAATATATTAAATTTCCTAACTCAGCATACTTCAATCAGTTAACAACTGCTCAAGTTATATCATACCCTGTGCTTATGCTAGCGCCATTCTGGAGGATTTTGGAAACTGTTATTTAGTGCTTATTTAGTGCGGATACTTTCTCAAGCTTCTCCCATATGAGACGGTGCTCCTTACCTCTACCCTCCATAGGTATAAGGTCGAAATTTTATATGTAGTGTCAAACTACCGTCACATTGTTAAAAAAGGGCAGTGCCCGTGCGGGCTTGTACTAAATACGCCCTAGTCATAACGCAAATCATTATTCTAAAGTGTGACTGACAAGAACACTTGTGTTTCAGTAAAAATGCTACAGAGGAAGGAGAAATCGAAACCGATTATGGACCACGACACGATGATTTATATGAACGCGGTCACGATAGTGCACAATTCGTACGTTTGCCCCTTCCACAACCGGATCAGTATATATTACTGCTATTACTGCCGGGACCAGTTCACCAATCCGGGCGAGCTGAGAGAGCACACGCTGTCCCACGACCCGAAGGAACTGTTCGAAAGCATGATGGAGAACAAGAAGATCCCAAAAATCGATATAACCAGAATCGATTGTAGATTATGCGACGTGAGCATAGACAGTATCGATAGTTTCAAGAAGCACATCTCTAGTGTACACGGGAAACAGATGCATCCGGTCACGAATGAGTTCTTGAAATTCAAATTGACCTTAGAAAATTTGGTGTGCACGGAATGCGGTAGCGTTTTTCCGTATTTCGACGCTCTAAAGAAGCACATGATCGATCATTTCGGGACGTCGACATGCGATATCTGCGGGGCCTGCTTCCTCGAGCCGAACTCGCTCCGGACTCACATCAAGAGTCACAGCAAAATTGAGACCGATTACCCGTGCGAGGTGTGCGGGAAGAACTTGAAATCTAAATACAGCAAGTATTTGCACGTAGCCACGGTGCACGAGAAGAAACCCACGGTGAACTGTTATAAGTGCGAGGCCAGTTTCTTGTCTTACGCCTTACGCAACAAGCATCTGATCGAGGTACACGCCGACAAGCGAACCTTTGCTTGTAAACTGTGCGATAAAGTTTATAACAGGCGGAAAACGCTGATGGAACACAACAGGAGGATACATTTGAAGATCTACAGGCACCAGTGCGATTTGTGCGACCAACGTTTCTACCTACCGTCTCGGCTCAAAGAGCACATGGCTACGCACACGGGCGAGAGGAATTTCCGATGCGAATTCTGCGATAAAAGCTATCCTAGGTTGCAATCGCTGCAAGAACACATACGGTCACACAGCAACGAAAGAAGGTACAAATGCGACCTGTGCAATTCGGCGTTCACGCAAAACGGTAGCTTGAAGAATCACATGAAGAGTCATCATCAGGGATACGAATTAGATACTAGTTTCGGCTGATTAATTTAGAGTATTTATTAAATTATAGATTTATTAATTTACGTTTACGTGTTTTACTTGACGTTTTTGTGGTTTTTTTTGTCTTTTTTCTATTGCTTAGATGGGTGGACGAGCACGCAGCCCAATTGCTCGAGATGACACTGTTATCTTGTTTTTACTATCTTAGTACAGTTGCGTTCATCCACAGTGCGTTTCCAGGGACGTTTTCTGCCTCTTATTATCCGTCACGCGAATGAACTCCCCTCTACTACGTCCCCCAAGCGCTGTGACATGTCCTTCTTCAAACTAGGATTATGGAGATTACTCAGCAATAGACAACGGCTTAACTCTACCCCTGGCAGACATTACTCACGTCCAAGAGTGACAGTATCCACTCACCGTCAGGTAGATCAAATTCTTATCGCCCTTCAAGAACAACAAAAATAAAATAGATTTTTATAAAATATCGACCAAACTAAGAAACCATTTTTTTTATAGTTTCAAATGTTTTTTTTAATAAGGAGGGGATGTCTTAAGAAGTCTTGTATGGACTGTGTGAAGATATGCGAGAGATGGGTGTGAGTACACAGATGATGATTTAATAGATCTGAATGGAAATAGAGGATTGTGTGCCGACCAGACAATGGGGTCAACATACTGCGTTCATGTCGATGTCTAGTTAAGCAACGCAATTATCATGTAAGTAGTTTTTAAATAGAATAAAAAATTTAAAATCCGAAATTTACAATTCAATAGTAAGAGCTAAATTTTACAGGTTAACTTTTGGCGGATTTTTCTGTTTGTCTACCTCAGACTAAAAAAAAGTTTGTGGAGAACTCTGCCAGGGATTACAGGTGCAAATATAATCTGTCACAAGGAGTAGAAGAACAAGAGTGTTTTTTTAATAGTTACTTGAAAATGTTGTCGCTTTTCAAAAGTCTGTACATGCCACATGGCAGTAGCATAAAGAAGNTAAATTTTACAGGTTAACTTTTGGCGGATTTTTCTGTTTGTCTACCTCAGACTAAAAAAAAGTTTGTGGAGAACTCTGCCAGGGATTACAGGTGCAAATATAATCTGTCACAAGGAGTAGAAGAACAAGAGTGTTTTTTTAATAGTTACTTGAAAATGTTGTCGCTTTTCAAAAGTCTGTACATGCCACATGGCAGTAGCATAAAGAAGCGGAGACTTGCAATATTTGTATTTTGTACGGAATAAGATTCACAACTAAAGAGGTAATACTAAGTATTCCTAATATCTGTTTGAATAAAGCCAATAAAGACGTTATTTGAAAGCAAATTTAAATAACACTGTTATTTAAAATAAAATATTTGATTAAATGTTGGTTTTGTGTAATCAGCTAGCCTATTATTCATTGAAAAAAAAAATTTTTATTGCTTAGGTCGATGTACGAGCTCAAAGCCCACCTGATGTTAAGTGGTTACTGGAGCCCATAGATATCTACAACGTAAATATGCCAACCACCTTGAGATATAAGTTTTAAGGTCTCAATATAGTTATAACGGCTGCCCCACCCTTCAAACCGAAACGCATTACTGCTTCACGGCAGAAATAGGCAGGGCGGTGATAGTGGTGGTACCTACCCGCGCGGACTCATAAGAGGTCCTACCACCAGTAATTACGCAAATTAGAATTTTGCGGGTTTCATTTTTATTACACGATGTTATTCCTTCACCGTGGAAATCAATCGTGAACAAATCAAAGAATATAAAAAAGATTTCATCCTAATTGGTTAGATTTTATTATTCCTCAACCAACATGGTTTTGCCTATTCCTACAACAGATTTGGTAGTATGAACAACGTTCCCTTTGCTTGGCCAGTAGACAGACTGACAGATCACGTCAAAATATTTGGCTTGAGATCAGAAATGCAAGATATTGTTTTAATTTTGTAAAATAAAGAAATGAATTCTAATAAAAAAGGACCCATAATTGACTCTGGCTCGTGTCGTTGCTGCGGTGCCACAAAACGTTGTCGTTTGCTAAATGTTGAATACGACTGGAGCGGCCAAAAAGAGATTTATTCAGATATGTTTTTAGATTGTTTTGGACTTCTAGTAAGTTGTAGTGCTAATAACTTCAACTAACAAATGGACAATATTACTGCCTCTTACCTTCTCAGTCGAAGTTACCAATCGAGCAGTCTTGTAGGGTGCCAGGAGTCGCCAATCAGTTCGGGGTCCGTTTTAAGAAATGAAATGACCATCGGGGTCGGAAGTAGTCGGAACAATATTTTATAGACAAAAATATTTGTCAAACAAATTTAACTACCGAATTAACAATGATATTTTTTTACGTTTCAATGAGAAAAATAACATTCATTGTTGCGGATCATCTGTCTCAAGTAAAATTAGTGCAAGATATTCACATTAAATCCTGGAGATCACTCAGTCGAGATCGAAATTTATTCATAATGAAGTTCATCTCTGAAAACGCTGCTACACAAATATATGTTGATCCAAACAAAGTAAGAAGTTACGAAGCTAATTTTTGTAGTTCTGGATATTTCCGTACTCTGTATTGCAAGTTGATGTGTTTTCGCGGTCTACACAAAATAGGTTGGCGGTCTGCGGCTCCCATTTGGGGACCCCTGTAGTGTATCCTTCACACACACATTTATTCATTTTAATTGGTACAAAGAATGCTTATATGTGGAGCCTAAAGTTAAGGTTATATTGCATACACATAAAACAGGGATAATTTGAGATGTCTGCTACCGTAGATCTGCCCACTAAACACATGATATTGGTATATTGGATGACTTGAGTCATTGTAACTCACCTCATTGGCGTATTTGTATCAAGTGGTACACTGGTGGTAGGACGTCTGGTGAGTCCACATGGGTAGTTACCACTACCCTACCTACTTCTGCCATGAAGCAGTAACGCCTTTCGGTTTGAAGGGTGGGGCAGCCATTGTACTGTTAAAACAGAGACCTTACAACTGATATAACAAGATGGGTGGCGGAATTCACGTTGTCTATGGGCTCCGGTTACCACCTAACACCAGGTGGGCCATGAGCTCAACCAACCATCTAAGCTATTATATATAAAAAAATGTGATGCAAATGTACCAGGTTTATAGTAAATATAAAGGGTAGGTACCACCAACCTGTTCATTTTTACTGCAGAGCAATCATGCATTCTGTTTTGAACCACTTAACAACAGGTGACGGAACTCAGCCATAAGTTTGATCAGTCTATAATAGTCAATTAAAAATAAACTTTTTACTTAAATGGTTAAATTCAAGTTAAAAGGAACTGAATCTGACTAATTTTAAATTAAAGATTATGACAGCAATAAAATATACCTTGAATATCTTAAAGTTAATTGGTCTTTATTGGAAATTTAACAAAAACTTTTGGTACAGTAATTAGTTTAAATAGATACTAAACAATTAATAAAAAAAAATGTCTGTTTTGAGCATTAACAACATTCTGATAGAAAAATTGGCCCTAAATATTACTTCCTCCTTGAATCATATTGCTCAATGCTTTTGATACCGATGACCACCCTTCTGTATAATCTTCTCGATATTTCGCCATCTGATGAACTCAATGAATTCAACAATTTTTCCAGTTATCACACTTAGATGGTGAGGCAGAGGAACGTCTGATATGCGCAACCTGCGTGCTGAGGCTTCGTGATGCTAGTCTCTTCAGGAGACAAGTACTGCTGTGCGAGGAGACATTATTGAAAAGCAGGATGACCACAGGTATGTTTGGGATACAATCTAAAACATGTAATAAAATTATAATTGGAATGAATTTTTTAGTTAAATACTGTTGTTGTTAACACCCTTAAAATATGAGATCAATGACTCAGTTGTATTCTATAAGATTTTTTTACCACAACCCATATTTTTATGGAAATGATTTAATCACTGACTGGTCATCAATGAAATTTCTAAATGTTACGAGTGCAATTTCTGTCTTAAACCTAACATATTCTAATATTGTAGAATAAAAATGATAAACACAATATTAAGGCATAAAAACAGATTTTTTTATATGTAATGTAATTAAAGTTACAGAAAACGACATTGAATTGAAGGTTGACATAGAAGTTAAGAAAGAGACAAGCGACCACTGCATTTTGGAGGAATCAAACAATAATGATTGTTTGTATAGTGATAATGACAACGACAATAATGCCAGCGATGGACACGTGGATTGTGGCAGTAATGAAGACAGTAAGCATAATGTAATATTTGAAATATTTAATAAGTGCACTTGTAAAATTTTGCCAGTTACTTAACTAATCATGCTTTTTACTGCTGGTAGGGCCTCTTGTGAGTCCGCGCGGGTGGGTACCACTACCCTGCCTATTTCTACCGTGAAGCAGTAATGCGTTTCGGTTTGAAGGGTGGGGCAGCCGTTGTAACTATACTTGAGACCTTGGAACTTATGTCTCAAGGTGGGTGGCTCATTTTGCGTTGTGGATGTCTATGGGCTCCAGTAACCACTTAACACCAGATGGGCTGTGAGCTCGTCTACTCATACAAGCAATAAAAAAAATTAAAAAAAAGCATGTTGGTGTCATAGTCTGGTAATGTTGCTACTCCGTCAGTACGGAGTCCCTTATTCTTCTCATAAGCGGTAAATTTAATTTATGCTTCTCATTTTAATTGTCTTATTAACAGTGAAAATAAAGCACGAATCTACAAATAAAGTAAAGGAGCTCTCAAAACTAGGTCTACGCTCTAAGGAAACAGTCAGAAAACCAGGCAGGAAGAGAATGAGTTTGAAAGATGTGAAAGTGAAAAGGGAAATGCTGATGAACTTAAAATACATGAAACAAAAGTTGTTGATGATGAAGAAGAACAGTGAGTTACTTTTTTTTAATACTTTTAAACCCAGTTCAACGTACCTGGTCACTATAGCAACGGCGGATCCAGGGGGGGTTTATGGGGGGATCATGACCCCCCACCCTGAGCTGGTTCCAGGACTTAGGTGGACGACTAATTGAACATAATGATTTTATTTATATGTGGGGAGTGTTATTTTTATTACGTTTTTTCAGTTTTTTTTTTTGGATATTTATTTTGTGCCTGTTGCAATGGCAACATTCTATTAGGTTTAGAAAGAGATAGCAGTTTAAGGTTAGAGAGGGTAGTTCGAAAGAGGAAAAGCTTTAGAAAGACGTGTACGAAGTGATTGTGAAGTAAAACAAAGAGTTTCGCTATATCCATCCCACTTTTACTCATGAACGAACCCACATATATATATTTTGTCACTATACAGATTTTATGTAACTATGTACTTACATACCTTCAATTTTTAATTAATTTAATATAATATTATATAATAACTTTGTATGATGGAAAACGTTTGGGAACGAACGCATCGAAAATTTGACTATGTGACCCCCTTGTGGCGCCAAAGCTGGATCCGCCCTTGCACAATAGTCGCTTATGCATGGATACGACTGAGGAATCTCAACAAATCTCTTTTCAAGAATATGTAATAGAACTTTAACACAATATAAATAATATAAATATTTACTAACAATCACGCCACGTTAACTGGTCCCGTGATAAGTTCGTAAAGAACTTGTGTTACAGGTGCCAGATAACGGAAATAAATGTAATATTTTTATTATACACATACATATATTTAATATACATCCATAACCCTGGCAAAGACATTTATATTTATCATACAAATATCTTCCCTTGGCGGGATTCGAACCCGCGACCCCCTTGTGTAGTGACCATGTCACTTACCACTACACCAGACGGCCGTTAATATAATGCGAGGGAGTTCATATAACGCATTCTTATGGGATTTTCGCTGTTCAAAAGCTAACGCTAGAAAAACTGCACAAAATATTTTGTAGATTCCTATTCAAGAAAATGTATGGGCACTATTCGTTCTTGTATCCATCACTTTATGTGACTGATATGGTCAGGTTAGATACTCTTGAGCTGAGACGAAAGATGACTCTTATTGGTAAGTGCTGCTGCAATCGCTGCAAACCAGCGATTTGTAGCTGTTGCTAGAAGTGACTTAAGCTAATGTTATTAATACCTTAAAAATGTTTTTGTTATAGTTTTTTTTTTTTTTNTATGGGCACTATTCGTTCTTGTATCCATCACTTTATGTGACTGGTATGGTCAGGTTAGATACTCTTGAGCTGAGACGAAAGATGACTCTTATTGGTAAGTGCTGCAATCGCTGCAAACCAGCGATTTGTGGCTGTTGCTAGAAGTGACTTAAGCTAATGTTATTAATACCTTAAAAATGTTTTTGTTATAGTTTTTTTTTTTTTTTTTTGCTTTTATGGTTCGACGAGCTCTCAGCCCACCTGGTGTTAAGTGGTTACTGGAGCCCATAGACATCTACAACGTAAATACACCACCCACCTTGATATATAAGTTCCAAGGGCTCAGTATAGTTACAACGGCTGCCCCACCCTTCAAACCGAAACGCATTACTGCTTCACGGCAGAAATAGGCAGGGTGGTGGTACCTACCTGTGCGGACTCACAAGAGGTCCTACCTCCAGTAATTACGCAAATAATATTTTTGCGGGTTTCATTTTTATTACACGATGTTATTCCTTCGCCGTGGAAGTCAATCGTGAACATTTGTTGAGTACGTATTTCATCAGAAAAATTGGTACTCGCCTGAGATTCGAACACCGATGCATCGCTCAACACGAATGCACCGGACGTCTTATCCTTTAGGCCACGACGACTTCGTTTATTAAGTAAAGAAGTAACAATTATTACTTCCAAAACAACAATTAACACATATGTTTTTAAATTATCAATGTTAATCCCAACTAAACTTTTTTACAGATCACCAAATAAAACAGCCGATAGTCAAATTAGTAAAAATGAAGCCCTACATAGACAAGGATTACAATTCTTTACAGAACGCGATCACTATAGTTAAAAACTCGTTTGTCTGTCCGTTCTTTACTATTTACGGAGACTATCACTGTATGTACTGCAGGGAAATGTTCACCGATCCCTCAGAGCTAAGGGTGCACACCCTGAAACACGACCCGGCCACTTACAAGGACGTTGTTGAATCGAAAAAGAATTTACTAATCGATATCGACAGAATCGATTGTCGTCTATGCCCGACGAACATCGATAATATTGATTCACTGAAGACCCACCTCACTACGGTTCACGGCCAAAAGATTCACAAGGAGACGAGCAATGAATTTTTGAAATTCAAATTGAAGTTAGGTCTGTTGTCTTGTACGGAATGCGGTTTGTCTTGTAACTCGTTTCAAGCACTCAAAAGGCATTTGGCGGTGCATTTCGGTTCATTTATATGCGAGGAGTGTGGTACTCATTATTTCGAAGAGCGTTTACTGACCTTCCACAAGAAAAGGGCACATAACACCGATTCTAACAAGCACGAGGACTACGTTTGCGACCGGTGCGGCAAGAACTTCCGCAGCAAGAAGGGCAAGAGCTATCACGTGGCCAAAATTCACGAGAAGGAACCGGTCTTCGCCTGCAACAAATGCGATGAGGTCTTTCTGTCCTACCACTTGAAGTACAAACACAAAATGGAGGAGCACGGCGAGAAGCGTTCGTTTCCTTGTTCGAGTTGCGATAAGATCTACAACAATCGAAAGGCGTTGCGGGAGCACAACCGTAAAAATCACCTACAGCTGCTGAAACACAAATGTCCGCTATGCGACCGCAGGTTCTACGTGCCTTCTGAGCTCAAAGACCACATGACCTCGCACACGGGGGAAAGAAACTACAGATGCGAGTACTGCGGCAAAACCTACCCCAGACTAAAAGCTCTGAAAGTGCACATGGAATCGCATAACACCGAAAAGAAATACAAGTGCGGATTGTGTACCGCCTCGTATACGCAGTTAAACAATTATAAAAATCATGTAAAGAGCAAACATCCCGTCGGTACTAATAGTAGTGCGTACGTATGAGAATAAACGATAATCAGGCATATATATATATATATATATATATAGACTTATGTAAAATGAGCTAGACTCGTGTAAAATTCAAAAATAAATTATAAAATTATATTTGCCAACAAATACTTGTGCTTTATGTGAAATAGGTTTTCGTTAACAATTGGCGTGAGCCGTGAACGTAATTTGCTAATTGTTTTAATAAAGATTATATATATTTTGACAGTTTATTATTTAAGTTTTAATCAAGTTTGTGACTTAAAACCTTAAAGATATGTAACCTCTATACGATTAATCCTTAAAGAGGTTAATATGTTATTTATATCATTCTTCTATAGATGACATAAATAGAATTTCGATTATTGAAACATTAAAACATTAGACATATGATTATAAAGAACATTTTTGCAATATTAAAATATAAAAAGATATAAAAATAATGGTGAAGCAATAGCTTTAAATGTTGTTTCTCTTTATAAGAGCAACTCAATTGCTATAGTTTTACAAAGCTAAACTGTATTTTAATTTAAATAAATAAATACATTATAGATATTTGTAATACAGCTATATTACGGCGTGGGGTTGTTGGCCGTTTTTGCGAAATTGCATTTAAGCTTGTGTACGACAATTTGACGGGAAATAAAATCGAACATTGACAAAATTGCGGTAGGCAGCGGCTTGGCTCTGCCCCTGGCATTGCTGAAGTCCATGGGCGACGGTAACCACTTACCATCAGGTGGGCCGTATGCTCGTCTGCCTACAAGGGCAAAAAAAGCATTCACGCCATTGGTTCGTTTCACTTTTATTTGGTAGACTATCTCATTAATAAATGAACGAATTGTAAATCAATTCAAATGTCCGCATATTTCTCCCGTGAAGCAGTAGGTAATGCGTTTCGGTTTTAAAGGTAGGGTAGCCGTTATATATAACTATACTGAGACCTTACAACTTATATCTCAAGGTGGGTGGCGCATTTACGTTGTAGATGTCTATGGGCTTCAGTAACCACTTAACACCAGGTGGGTTGTGAGCTCGTCCACTGATCTAAGCAATAAAAAAACAATTAGTAGTATATCTACAGCAAAATTATAATTTGGGGTAATTACTGGTGGTAGGACCTCTTGTGAGTCCGCACGTGTAGGTACCACCACCCTGCCTGTTTCCGCCGTGAAGCAGTAATGCGTTTCGGTTTGAAGGACGGGGCACCCGTTCTAATTATTCTGAGACCTTAGAGGTTAGAGGTTGACTGGTTACTGGAGCCCATAGACATCTAATACGTAAATGCCGCCACCCACCTTGAGATATGGTTGAGATTGTTCCCATAGACACAGCCCACTGAGTTTCAAGTAATTTATTGCGTGTAGGTATACTTACCTAATTGTAGAATACAAATCTTCAAATGAACTCAATGCGCTAAAGTCGGATCTTCTATGTAGAATCTGTTTTCCTATATTAAATTCTATAATTTGGTCTGTAAGCGATACAAGATTACAGTGCAATTTGGATGTGGTCTCGTAAAATGCTCTAGAAAAAATATCATTAATAATCGAGACGAAAATTGGAATTTTGTGTTTGAATGAATTAAATAAACTATTAAGGCGTTCAAATAAACATTCCATTTTATTGGTTAATAAATTTAATTTAATTTGTAATTACCAAACATTTACATTTATAATACTACGCGTGTAGTCAAAAATATGTGAAAAAAATTTAAACGGAAAATTTTATTAATTAACAAGACGAGCGTCAATTCGAAATTCAAAATTTACGTGGCGTCACTTCAAATGTTTTTTTGCTCGACAAACAAATGACAATGCGTGATTGATGAAAATTTTATATGAATTGAATTGAATATCAAGATTATTTATCCGAACTATCGAAGGATCAAAAGATGTGTGTGGCGTGTTAAGCTAAGCGTCCACAGGTCGGTATCGTACGCATCGGACGCATCGCATCAACCGCATTATTTTTTGATACTGCGTCCACTGTATCGGCAGCGATCGGATTGTTGACGCAAGTACCATCAATCGGATTGCCGATGCCAGTTTCATTCGGATTTTCTTAGTGATCGTAGCTGTGTGTTCGGGTACGGCAGCGGTTTCGCCCAAGCCGAGACACTGGGCACCGGCGCCGGAACGAACGCTGGCTTTGCCTGCGACACAGAGGGTGCCGAGGCTTTGATGTCTGGGCCGGAAGCTCGGAGGCAGTTTTGGCGGGCGACGCGGCGATTTATTTTAGGGGCTCGGGGGCATCCGCGGTAATTTGCGGGGTGACCCTGTGTTTGACACAGGACGCAGCTAGGCGGTTCCGTCGCGGTTTTTTGATCGCGAGTGCATAGGGCCGTGGCGTGATCGCCTAAACAGTTGACGCATCGGGGGCGCGCGTGACAGTTACGGGAAGAATGCCCGTATAATTGGCAGTTATGGCACTGGCTAGGTGTGCCTTTCTTGTGTGGGGTTTCGACGGCGATTCCAGAAAGGCTACAGACCGTTCGGATGTTGAATATTTGCTTACCCTCGAGGGTAGGCTGGAGGGCGACGAGAACCATGTTATATGGCTCCTTTCCGCGACCTGTTTGCATGCGGTGTACGGAGTTAACCGGTAGGCCTTGTTCGAGAAGGTCGGCCTTGACGAGCTCGGCATCCAACTCTTTAGGGATGTCACGTATGACGACACGGAGTTCGCGCTCCTCCTGGCGCGTATACGTGTGTGAAATAAGAGAAAACCTTTACTGAATATAAGGTTTTAATAAGCTAAAATTAACAGTAAAAATTTGCTTTGATTTACATTAGATACATTGACAAATAACGAATAAAACAGATTGACAATGACGTCAACTTATGGCTGATAATTTCAACTAAGAAGTTTACATCATTCTCCCGCACTATTTTAAAATATAATCTTTCAAAAATCCTGGAGTTTTATGGACGCGACCAGATCTACGAAGTGTTGGCTCCGGCGGTGGTGATGATGGTAATTCTGTCTCTAGCTCTCTGCTATTATCAAGTACCACAGGTCCCGTTTCATTAGATGAAGGAATCTCCAAGTTTTGGTCTTCTGTTTCCGGAAGTGGTTCTGCGACGTTATGATAATCAATAGTGTGTTCATTATCTATTCGCAGATCTACCCTTTCTGAACCCAATGGTGCTAGATGACGATTCGACACTGTTGTTTCTCGGCCATCTGGAAGCCGAATGTATGAAAAGTCAGGATTGCTGTGTATCAATTCAACCTCTTCTACTAATGGCTGATACTTATTTGTACGATTAAATTTCTTCATCAAGACTTGTCCAGAATTTGTAAGCCACGATGGAACAGAAGTGCCGTTAGTAGATCTTCGAGGGTGTCTAAACATTCTTTCATGTGGAGTGCAATTTATGGTTGTACAAAGTAATGATCGAATTGAATGTAAGGCTTGTGGTAATACTTGTTCCCAATTTTCTACCGAAAGATTCTTCGTCTTCAGGGCCAAAAGAATCGTTCTCCAAAGAGTAGAATTCAATTTTTCTACTTGACCGTTACCTTGAGGGTTATAAGCTGTAGTT